CATTCAAACATTAGTTATTCACCATTCCTTTAGTGACCATTACAAGTTATAATGGTACTGGAAATGACTTATGACCGTTTTTCACACTTATGACCGTTGAAACATCTCCATGGTCACATGGCCAAAATTCAGATGTTTGGCAACTGGCTCTTATTTATGACGGTTACGGTACATGTAGTCCTCGACTTACAACAGTTCCTTTAGGGACCGTTCAAAGTTACAAAGGCACGTAAGTGACTTTTATTTTTCACATCTGACATTTGTCAACCGTTGCATCACATCCCCATGGTCACGTGATTTACACTCGGGATGCTTCACAACCGATTCACATTTACGACGGTTGCAGTATCCCAGAGTCACGTGATCTCCTTTTGCGACCATCTGACAAGCAAAGTCAATAGGGAAGGCAGATTCACTTAACAACCGTGTTACTAATTTAAGAACTGCAGTGATTCACTTAACAGATGTGGGAAGGAAAGTCCTAAAATGGGACAAAAGTCACTTAACAAATTTCTCACTTAGCAACATAAATTTTGGGCTCAATTGTGGTTGTGAGCTGAGGACTCCCTTTAGGGTCCAAACATGTTTGGGGGGGGGGGAAACACATAAGCATAACTCTGTCAAACCCATCGCTTTGAAGTCAGTGATCGATATTCTGTTAGCTGGGGTTTCCATCCAACAGTCCCAATTAGTGAGCACTGAGGGATTTATAATTTCACCCCAAATACTGGCTGCTGCAATTTCCGATAACAAATCACACAAAATAATGAACCTGAATACCCCTTGGTTGCAATAAGAAACAGATTTTTAACCGTGTAAAATGGATTTCCTTTTCCAACCTTGCTTAGGATATTTTGAGGTGCATTCTGCTGAAAGAAGTGAAACCCAGAAAAGGATAAATTCATTTCTAATTAAAGAAAACCAGAGGAATTGTAGTCCCAGCCTGTGGAAGGAATTGAGGAGATCCAAGTTAGTACACTATATGGTGGCAAAAAAAACCCCCACCCTCAAGTCTAGCAGCGCCTTTTCCAAATAGCATGGTTTTTTTAAAAAAAAAATCTACATTTTGGAAAGTTTATGCCCTTTAATAAATTGAGAGACTTGTATTTGCACAACATTGGAAAAATAAAGACACGCCTACAGATAAAAGTATAATTAGAAAAACATTAGACTGCAGAGATGGATTGGTTAACGTTAATTATAAAGGATAAGGAAGAAGCAATACTTTTTAACGTGGGATATGTTCTATCAATGGTTGGATAAAAGAGATGGAAACTAGATTAATAATACATATAAGAAAAGAATGCAAGAAATTGTATTATATACAAACAAACATAAGTATTAATATTACAGTTATTATTACCAATATTACCATTGCATATTATAAGTAAACGATGTAAGAATTTTATTATAAATAAGCAATTATTAGTGTTTTAATTATGGCTGTTATTAATATTACTCTCATCACCAGTTTATTAATACTTTGTATGAATAAATGGATCCAGACAATACACTTCATTAAGCAATTAAGTATTTTAAAGAAGGAAAAAAAATGTATCAATAAACAATTTTTAAAAATTGTTTTTAGAAAGGGTGCTACCAGATTCCAAATTTTTACACTAAGCTGACAAAATGAAAAAACAGAAAAAGGTAACAGCAACCACTTCTGTAATGTTGCCACAAGAAATCCACATGGATGTATTTATGACAGTGTTCGCGAACCTTTTTGGCACCGAGTGCCGAAACGGGAGCAAGCGCGCGCACACGAGTACGTGCCAGAAATCAGAAGGGCAGCTGCATGTGCGTGCCGGGTTTCCGGCGCATGCATGCGCGCCGGCCACCTGGTCTTCCAGTTTCTGGTGCGCATGCATGCGTAAAAACCAGCTGCCCAGTATACATGCTTGATTCCGGTTTCCAGGCAACTGCTCTTCCGGTTTCCAGCACTCCCACACGTGTGAAGACCAGCTGGCCAGTGCGCTGGAACTTGGAAAAGCAACAGGCAATGGCTTGCGTGCCTAGAGAGATGGCTCTGTGTGCCACTTCCATCACGCATGCCATAGGTTCACCATCACGGATTATGATGTTCCCAAGAACTGACTTTGAGCTAGGGCATTTTTACCTTTTCAGTGGTTAAGAAATGCTAACAGCAGGCGCATATGGTTGATGTATACTTCCTATATGATTGGAAGACTGGGTCTCTTTCAAATGAAATACGGATTTTCATTGGTGCAGATCAAGATAGGGGCCTTAGTCTCTTCCGATCTCCCATCACTTCCCGTTCTGAAAGCAGTACATTATTAACTCATATGGATTAATGAGGTATGTGCAATCTGCCCATTAAGGACATGCTGTACTGTCCTTGCAAATTTCAAGGAAAGTAATAACTCTCTTTTGAAGGCCTCCAACCAGTTGATCGTGTTTTTTTTTTGTTGTTGTTTGTTTGTATTATGCCTCTGGCAAAATATGCATGACTCTGGATAGTCTTGCAACTTTTAGCCACAATGCGCATCTGCATCATGTCACGGTAGTCTGCAATTAAGACCCATTCTGGCACCGTTGAATCACCAAGGCTCTTCTCAGATTTTGCATTTATCTTTGAATATCTTCTTGAAAGATGAAGGTCGTTCCTTTCCAGCTGTGGGCAATCTCTTCTCTTTGTCTGCCGAAGTTTGCAATGGTGCACATAGAGGTAGTCAACTTACAACAGTTCGTTTAGCAACAATTCAAAGTTACAAAGGCACTGAAAAAAGCGACCTGACCATTTTTAACACTTATCAACCGTTGCAGCTTCCCGATGATTGTGTGATCAGAATTCAGATGCAACTGACTCATACTTATGACCGTTGCAGCCTCCCAGGGTCATGTGATCCCCTTTTTTGCGACCTTCTGACAAGCAAAGTCAATGGGGAAGCCAGATTCACTTAACAACCAGGTTACTGATTTATCAACTGCAGTGATTCACTTAACAACGGTGGCAAGAAAGGTGGTACAATGGGACAAAGCTCAATTAACAAATTCTCAACAGAAATGTTGGGCTCAATGTGTGGTCATAAGTCGAGGACTTCCTGCATTGTCTGTGTGTGTTTTATTCCATGCGCCTGTGACTGCACTACGTGGGGCTTAAGATAAAGTGGAGGTATAACAGAATAAGAATTGGAAGGGGCCTTCTAGTCCAACCCCCCTCCGCCCTACTCAAGAAGGAAACCTTATACCGTACATACAGATCCAGGCACACATTTAACAGGCATGCACACACACATATATGCAAACAGTTGTAAACATGCGTATTTATGTATGCATAGATGCTTCTTTATAGTTTATAATTTATTGTCAATGCACATGGTACAACGAAATTAAATGCCGTCTTCAGTGTACATTATAACTATAAAAATAAAAACACAACCATACATCCTTTACATTCTATGTAATTGCAATTGAAAGCCCGATATTGCACTATCCCGAAGAATTCAATATGGTTATTGCCCTGGGATAGAAGCTGTTTTTCAGCTTCTGTTTGTCCTTGTTTTTATTATCCTGTACCGTCTGCCAGATGGTAATAGTTCAAAAAAAAAAGGATGCCTAGGATGAGATGGATCTTTAAGAATGTTTCTTAAAGGCAGCTGGAGCTATAAAGCTCTTCCAAGGAGGGGAGAGAGCAACCAATGATCCTCTGGGCAATGACGCTGACCCTCTGGAGCACTGTCTTATCTGCCACTGTGCAATTGGCAAACCATATATAGGTGCAGTAAGTTAAAATACTCTCTATGGCAGGGGTCTCCAACCTTGGCAACTTTAAGACTCGTGGACTTCAACTCCCAGAATTCCTCAGCCAGCTTTGCTCAGCCAGCTTTGCTGGCTCCCAGAATTCCTCAGCCAGCTTTGCTGAGTCAGCAAAGCTGGCTGAGGAATTCTGGGAGTTGAAGTCCACGAGTCTTCAAGTTGCCAAGGTTGGAGACCCCTGCTCTATGGTGCAGCGGTAGGTGGTCCCCTGCAGTTTTTCATTCATTCATTTATGCCAGGGGTGGGCAAATGTGGCTCTTTTACAGCCTGCGGACTTCAACTCCCAGAATTCCTGAGACAGCCAAACTGTCTGTGGACTTCAACTCCCAGAATTCCTGAGACAGTCAAGCTGTCTGTGGACTTCAACTCCCAGAATTCCTGAGACAGCCAAGCTGTCTGTGGACTTCAACTCCCAGAATTCCTGAGACAGCCAAGCTGTCTGTGGACTTCAACTCCCAGAATTCCTGAGACAGCCAAGCTGGCTCAGGAATTCTGGGAGTTGAAGTCCACAGGTTGTCAAAGAGCCACCTTTGCCCATCCCTGAATTTTATGCTAACCCACCGGCCGAATCCCTCTTCCTCTCTCTCTCTTTCTCAGCCCAACCCACCTCACAGGGTTGTTGTAGGGAAAATAAAAAAAGAGTATGTTCCTCCTTATAAAAAATAAAAGCGGCCATAATAAATAAACAAACAGGAATAGGGCGGGCATCCCCCTGCCCCGCTTGGCAGCACCGCCTCCAGGGGGCGCCAGAGGGCAACGTGACCCATTCCGTGAAGAGGGAAAGCTCCCCTCCCGCCCTGCCGTTTGTTTCGCCTCGCCCCCTTCCCGCCCAAACCGCTCCGCCTCGACGGCACCCCGTCTGGAGGGGGGGCGCGGTGCCCTTTTTTTAGCCCCGCAGCCCCGACCCACGAAGGAAAGAGGCGGGCAGGCCCGTCAAGAACGCGACCCTCCCGTGTCACGTCCACCCTCTGAGGGGGAAGGTGGGGGCGCATGACGTCACGGCCCCTCCCCGCGCGTGCCCGAAGGCGGGCGGCCCGCCCGATCGTTTCTTCCCCCCCCCCCCGTCGGCATTTAAAGTTTAGCGCCCAGCGTTTCCTCCCATGATGCCCCGCGCGGGCGCTTCTCCCGCTCCCTCCTCCCTTCGATCGGGTCCGGCAGGCCGCGGCTGCCGGGGCTCGCGCAGGCGCACGGGGCGCCCCGTCCGCCATTTTGTGTCCGAGGCGACTGTGGAGCGATTAAACCGCGAGCTGGTGCTGGGCGCTGGCGGTGGCCGCTAGCGGCGGGGCAGCGGCAGCGGGCGCTTTGCGGAGCCCAACGGGGCGGGGCCCGGGGCAGCAGGGGCGGCCCGGAGGCTCCTCCGGGGCAGGTAAGCGGCGCGGGGGGTTTTGCAGTCGCTTTCTCCGGCCTCTAGGTGTCACGATGGGGCTCGGGCTGGGACCCGCCGCGGCGCCGCCGCCGAGGAGGATGGGGAGCGGGGCTTTGTCTCCCTCTACCGTCCCCATCGCCCTGATGCCGGCCTGGTACTGCCGCCCATCGGCCTCGCCGCGCAGCGCCTCTGCCGGAACCAGGCCGCGCCTGGACAACGACGCCCAGGCCGCCTCAGCCGCCCACACGACGCCGCCAGGAAAGCCCCCCGAGGGCCCCGCTGCCCACACCCGGCCGCCCCGACCATCACCCCCACCCCCACCCCCGCCGCCTCAATCGCTCTCCGCCGCCTGAGGGGATTTGGCTGCGCTGCCTCGCCGCCGCCATTACGACACGGCGGCTTCCCGGGCGCTCCCGCCGCCTCGGCCCTTCCCCCCCCCCCCCCCCCCCCCACCCGCCCCCTGCCCCTGGCTCTCCGCCTCCGCCGCCTCGTCCTCCTCCTCCGCCTCCCGTCCTGCTGGCTGACCGTGTCCGTCCTCCGGGGCGCCTGGTCCGCGCGGCCGTCCGCTCCCGCCGGCCGCCTCCTCGCTGTGCGCGTTGCGGAGTGAGAGGCGCTGCGAGCTCAAGAGCGGGACTCGAGCTCCCTCTTGCAAGGCAGGCTGAGCTGCAGCGCCATGCAGCGCGGGAGAGCGCCAGGCGGGGACGCCCGAGCTCGCCCCGCAGCCCCGCTCGCCGCCTTCCTTCCTTCCTTCCTTCGTTTTTTTCCTTTCCCCCCTGCCTCTCTTGCCCCGCGACTCCCCAAAGACCCCCGAGGGGAGAAGGGCAGCGGACGGGACTGGGGGGGGGAGAGGGGTCACCCTCCTCCGTGTCCCGTACCTCACCCCCCCCACCCAAATGAACCCCGGATCTCCTCCTTTTCGGGCCCATTGGCAGCTCTGGCTCCCCCCGCCCACCCCCCTGTTCGATTCGCATCCATTGGATCTGCATTTCCTCGATTCGGATCTATTGGATCGGCATTTCCTCGATTCGGATCCATTGGTTCTGCATTTCTTCGATTCACATCTATTGGTTTTGCATTTCCCCTCTTTGGATCCATTGGGTCTGCATTTTCCCGATTCGGATTGATTGGATTTGCATTTCCCCGATTTGGATCCATTGGGTCTGCATTTTTCCCGATTTGGATTCATTGGATTTGCATTTCCCCGATTTGGATCCATTGGGTCTGCATTTTTCCCGATTTGGATTCATTGGATTTGCATTTCCCCGATTTGGATCCATTGGGTCTGCATTTTTCCCGATTTGGATTGATTGGATTTGCATTTCCATGATTTGGATCCATTGGTTCTGCATTTCCTCGATTCGCATCTATTGGTTCTGCATTTCCCCGATTTGGATCCATTGGGTCTGCATTTCCCTGATTTAGATCCATTGGATCTGCCTTTTATCTATTCGGATCTATAGGATCTGCATTTTTCCCCTATTCCGATCCATTGGATCTGCATTTCCTTGAATCGGATCCATTGGATCTGAATTTCCCCGATTGGATTTGTAATTTCAGGCAGCCGGGAAATGGAGGCCAGGCAAAGGCACAGGCTGTTGCGGGTTTTTTTTTTTTTTCCTTCTCTGCCCATCTTCGTGCCATATGTTCCCGGGGTTTAATGCTGGCAGCCTTGAAAGCTGTGACTCTTATATTTTTTTTTTCTTTCTCACCACCTTCCCCCCCCTTTCTGCTTTGATTCTAGAACAGGTTTTGATGGGGGGATTTGGTAGAAATGCACCTATTTTATTTGATTTTTTTTTGTTTTTGTTTTACACTTGATTTTGGGCTGCCTTGCTTTTTGGATCAGAAGGTTTGACAGTTGGGGAGGAAGGAAGCTGATGCTCCACCGAGCAACTGCTGGTGGTGGAAAGTTGGTTGGCCTGCTGACTCTCTTCCTCAAATTAGACAAGATCAGAGATGATAGCCCAGAACGGTTTGTAATAAATAGGAGAAGCTGGGCAGGATCAGACCGAAGGCCTCTTTAAGTCTTGTTTTCTCAAACGTCAACCGGTTGCTTCTGGGAAAAAAAAAACTCATGAGAAGGATGGAGGGTAATTGCCTCCGATAAAATCTTGGGTTACATCACTGGCTTGCTTTGCTCCGAAACGCAAAGGTGCTCCTCGGTATTCAAAAGCAGTTCCTTCCAGTTTGAACAGGCACCTGATTTAGAATTAAAAACAACGCTACCTTGAATATTTTAGGCCGTAAATTGATGTAGCATGGATTTAGTATCTTTCAATATGACCTCAAATATCTCTCGATTGAGAGAATCTGAGCCACAATATATTGGTCTACCAGATAATTTCTAGATTAGAAAGCAGAAATCACACCCTGCATAAAATTCTGTTAATGTGTTCAGAACAAAATTGGGCTTTTGTGCATACTAGTCAACACGTGCCAAAATCAAGCATTACTGTCTTTACTATTAGCACAAAACACTTGCACGTAAAGAAGATGTGACTAAGACTGATGACCTAATCTGTACCTTATGTTACTAAAAAGTATTAGGAGGAAACCTGAATTAAGCCAAGCCATGGTGGGTGGAAGAGATCATTATCTGTGGGTCTGTGTGATAATAACCTGAATGAAAAGTCAGTATGTGAACTGAATAGTATAAATTGTATTAAAACCAAAGGGAAAATGAGATACACTGTGGATTAAACATACAATTACATGCAGGGAAGTGAAGGGTTAGGTGTGTTAATGAATGAAAAGGCTAAAATAAGTATCAGGATGGATAGAAGTTATTGGAGTTGTCCAGTTTACGGGAAAGTAGGGATCCGTAGATTGATAGTGGATATTCATTAAAGCAGCACCTTCAACAGGTTTTTGACAGTGGGAACAATTGCTATTTTACCCTGAGGGTTACAATTCTGCTTTTGACATATAAAAACCAATTAAAAGTTTCCAAAAGATAATTCTAAAGAGTGCTTCGTTGCCAAAGAACTACCACGTTTCCCCAAAAATAAGATACTGTCTTATATTTTTTTGAACCCTGAAATAAACGCTTAGCCTTATTGTCATGCGCTCAAAAGTCCGATTGGGCTTATTATCAGGGGATGTCTTATTTTGGGGGAAACAGGGTAAAATTGTTCTTTTTATTGTTACACCTTGGCTTTTTCATTTTAATCTGTTGGCTACCATGAACATCACATGATCCTTAAAATTACCATTCTGTACTCTTCAGCCTAATACTGAATTTTACAAAAAATTTAAATGTTTAAAAGTTAAATCCACAACGTATCTTTATCAGAAGTTCAATAATGTACATGATTTATGGGGAAAATCTTTAAATGTTAAATATGTGATGTTGAATTATGTACCAAGTAATATTATATAAATAGAACCTGACTTACATAGACAGAATCTCTGTCTTTGAGGAATCATTGTTCTAGTGTGCGTGATGGGGGTGGCTGAAAGAACAATATTGAGAATTGAGAAATGATTGTATTCCAAATATTAAAAGATTGGGTTTTGGAAATTTGTAACTTCTCTGTCTTGGAAAAGGCAATATTTTCTACTATCAGAGGATAAATCAATAGGTTCTTTCGCATAAATGTTATGGTATTTTATAATTTTTGTATACTGTTAATATAGTATGGAGTGTATTTGACAATGCTATTATATTGTATTTTTTGTAAAGCAGTGACTGTAGTTTAATATATAAAATATAGATTTGTTTTGTTTGCTTTCCTTTTCCTTGTCTTTTTATCATTTTTATTTTTATCTATTGTTTGCTTTAATTTTGTTATGGTTATGTATCTTCGTAGTTTGCTTATATTCTGTATCCTATCCTTTCAATAAAGAATTTTTAAAAACACACAAGAACAAAAGGTTAGGGCTTGGTTAAAGTTTGGAACCAACTGAATCAGTCTAGCAAGTACTACATTGACTTCTATATTATTGTAACAAATAGAATTTTAACCTGCATTGCAGTTTCATTGATTTTAGAGAGAGCTTATTCCTTACTACATTTTGCTGAATGGTTCACAGTATTGGAGATACTTTCTTCCTCTGACCTGATATTAACAGCATATTGTAAAATATGATTCAGAATTACAAACTGTTATGTTCTACCTCACTTTGGAAATAATCTCCTGGGTTTTGTGTAGGCCTTTAAAATCCCTGAGCTCTCCTGTCAGTTGGTTAACTTAACTGCATCCACCTTGTCATGGCGTCAAGATACTTATCTAGTCTTACCTTCAATGTCTGGATTTATCTAGTATCAATCTGTACTTCTAACAAAATTGTGTTGGCTTTTCGGTTAGCAGCTCTGCAAAAGACTGAATGTACCCCGAGTGTTTCTGACAGGACCTGGATGTATTGATTAATTGAAATATTCTGAATTCTTTTGAGCCATAAAATAATATTTTAGGAATTTACTGTACAAACATTCAGACTGAAAATGAGATTTATAGTTTAAAATCACACTTAATATTTTATTTTAAAAATTTTAATATATTATTTTACATTGTTATAGTAAATGAGCCTTTCACTGACTTGAAGTACTGCATGTAAGTCACAAACAACTTGTACTGTTTGGACAGTACAATCAGAACAGATTGGTAAATAAAGTCTTAAGAGTAGAAAAACCCATTCAGGCTGTGTCAAAGACACACAGCAAATTGTAGGTACTCCTCAATTTACAACCACAATTGAGCCCAAAATTTATGCTGCTAAATTAGACATTTGTTAAACGAGTTTTACCCCATTTTATGACTTTTCTTGCCACAGTTGTTAAGTGAATCCCTGCAGTTGTTAAGTTAGTAACATCATTGTTAAGTGAATCCAGCTTCTCCATTGACTTTCACAAAAGATGATCATATGACTCCGGCACACTGCAACTTTCATAAGTATGAGTCACCTGCCAAATGTCTGAATTTTGATCACATGACCACCGGGATGCTTCAATAGTCATAAGTATGAACAACGTTCATAAGTCAGTTTTTTCAGTGCTGTTGTAACTTCGGACAGTCACTAAATGACATGTCATAAGTCGAGAACTACCTGTACAACTGGATCCAGTTCTTTATTTGTTTACAATAATGGACAAAACCTTGATGCTGGTTTTGACCCACTTTGGTGGTAGTGCTGTGGCCTCTTCAGTCGCACTTGACCGCTAGGTTCTCTTCAGTAGGGCACCCATACCAACCATTGGTCTGCATTTGTCCTTTTTAAGGCCCTTGGCCATTGAACCTCTTAATATCACAGTACTTCTTCAGTGGCTGCCTCTGCTTAGCCTCTTGCCTTCTCTACCAATTCTAGACAGGGAACCTTGAGAGTACCATAGTTTAAATCAGGGGTCTCCAACCTTGGCAACTTTAAGACTTGTGAACTTCAACTCCCAGAATTCTGGCACTTGAAGTCCACAAGTCTTAAAGTTGCCAAGGTTGGAGACCCCCGATTTGAATGGTGCGACTTCAGGCAAGTTCTCCCTCTGGATCTTCTGGTTTCAGCTCCAGTTTAAAGGAACACTGTTGTCTTTCGGCTCTAACAACATATCACTTAATTCAGTTCATTCTCCTTATAAGAACAGTATGTGTGGCTGCTGAAAAATAATGGGGAAATGAGTGGCTGGGTGGTATTCCTTACATGATGCACATTCATCCTACAAAATGCTATTCTTTATTGACATAGCTTTGGATGTGGAAAAAATTGAGAATGAAAATACGCACCAAATAGGGGTGTCAAACTCGATTTCATTGAGGGCTGCATCAGGGCTGTATTTGACCTTGGGGGGCCAGGGTGGGCGTGGCCAGCTCAACATCACTTGTGTTGGCAGCGCCTGTGGTGGCCCAAGCACTCTGCCAGCGAAAATGAGCTTCCGAGCTCTGTTTTTGGCTGTGACGGCTTCCTACAATCCTCTACCAGCGAAAACGGAGCTCAGTAGGGCCACCCGCCGCCCTCGTGAGTTCCATTTTTGGCTGCGCCATCCTCCAGCAACCCTCTGTCAGCAAAAACAGGCGGCCCTCCTGAGCTCTGTTTTCGCTGGCAGAGGCACTGCGGACCGGTCCTTTGCTGTTTCCAGGGCAACCCTGCGGGCCAGATCTAAGCACCTCGCGGGCCAGATCCGGCCCCCAGGCCTTGAGTTTAACACCCATGAAATAGAACACGTGTTTCATTTGGAAAGTGCATTTTGTTTGGGATGGAATAAACAATGTATCCTCCTTTGGATTGGTTTGGCAGAAATAAATCCTGAAATGTTTTTGTCGTTCCAGGTTTCAGCTGAAAACAAAATCTGCAGGAATCGTGGGCTGATTTTATGGGGTGAGTAGGGAAAGATTCTTGTTTGCCCAGGCTGGTATTTCCAAACTGACCAAAAAAACGGGGGCTTCTGGATACAATTATCTCCCTCTGTTTATTGGTATTTAGAGTTATATTTATTTGAAATAAAGAGTTTTCAGTGTATTACCTTGGCAGATACTTAATTATAGTTTACATTGATGATCTTATCCTCTTTGCAAAGCTATCTAAATAGTTACTTGCTACGTTTTATGTCAGTTATTCTTGACCGAAAGTGTATTGCTATTCAGTCTTTCTAAGCCTTGCTTCATCTTTGCAGATAACCAGACCAGGGTACAATGCCTGTGGCCAAACAAGTCATACCAGAATAAGAAAAGAAATTATCTTGGGAGAAAAAGAAAACAAAGAAGATAGTTTTATGTGACTGATGTGCCACAATGGTGAGCAGCTATTATATGGTAAAAGGGATTTACTAAAACAAACAAGCTGTTTTCAGAGAGGCTTCTTCACAGATCTAAATACTTCTGTTTCCATACATTTTTAAAAGACATATCTAGGAATTTAGCTAATACCACAGGAACATTCTGTGTTGCAATACCAATTTTACGTCCCTTTGGACATCCCCTCAGCAATTCCAAGATCAGAACATTAAAATAAAACAGCATCATCACCCTCTCCTATGCTTAATTCACCCCTTTTCATTAAACAAACCAAAGCAATTCCCAAAACCAAAAAGGCCCCCTTCCAGATGTCTAAGAAATTGGAGGGGTGGGTTGTTTGTTTTTGTTTGTGTGGGTTTTTTTTTTTAAGAGTAATCTTGGGTTGCAAAGAAAATAGTCTGTTGTCCCTAGTGCCGAAACTGGATATTAACATTTCTGATTTCTGGGGCTCTTGTCAAGCACGAAGAATCAGGACCACAAGTTAAATTCCAATTAAACTGATTTATTGCCCATGCCTATACCCAAGAATCTAGTCAACTAAGGTCAGCTCTAAATTGATGCTAGATAAGAGTTAATGGAATTCAAGGGGGTTGGATTTAGATTGCTTGTTGGAACATAAGGACTCCAGGCTAATTCCTCTCTTGACTCCACCCCCAGCACAGCTTGTCCTTCTGCAGCTCAACACATTTCAGTGATCTCCATTCTTGCTCCCTGTACCCAAGAACAGCTTCGGTGGGCATGGATATGGGAAGTGTGTGCTGTTTCTTCCCTCTGTCCTTTTATCACTTCCCTGTTCCTGTCCCCAAACTGTCTAGTAGCTTTTCTAATTTTCATTGGAGAAAGAGCTGGATCCTGCAGGGAGGCGCTGCTATGAAGCAGATGCTGTCGCATTACTGATCCCTAGTGGTTGGTTCCTCTTACTGCAAGAGGCACAGGACACTTAAGAAAAGTCATGTTTGGCATGTTCAGATTGGGAGAGTTATAAAGTAAATCTGTTCTACCAGAACCCATTTCTCTTCTAGTCCTGCCCAAGAGAGCCATTGGTTTGGCAGTTAAGCCACTGTGCTCAGTGGTGCCTGAGTGATTTTAGAATAGAATAGAATAGAATAGAATAGAATAGAATAGAATAGAATAGAATAGAATAGAATTTTTTATTGGCCAAGTGTGATTGGACACACAAGGAATTTGTCTTGGTGCATATGTTCTCTGTACATAAAAGATACGTTCATCAAGAATCATAAGGTACAACATTTAATGATAATCATAGGGTACAAATAAGCAATCAGGAAATAATATCAATATAAATCGTAAAGATACAAGCAACTAAGTTATAGTCATACAGTCATAAGTGGAAGGAGATGGGTGGTGGGAACGATGAGAAGATTAATAGTAGTGCAGATTTAGTAAATAGTTTGACAGTACAAGAAGTCTGATCATTTTCTCAGCAGCTGCCATCTGTCACATTTATCTGACCCGATTGCTTTAAGGGTTCTGAGAATCTGCTCCATCGGTTCACGCAAGGTGCCAAAGCGAACGATTAAGCAGGGTGTTCTCCTTTTGTTTCTTCACCAGGAAGGTGACATGGAAGCAGAAGCAATTGAAACTATTGGGGAAGAATCTGAAACTTTCATCAAGGGCAAAGAACGGAAGACCTATCAGAGACGCCGGGAAGGCGGGCAGGAAGAGGATGCTTGCCCGATGCCGCCCAACCAAGCAGATGGGACTGAGGTAGTACAGGAGGTTAACGCTGGTGTGCAGATGGTCATGATGGAACAGCTTGATCCAACGCTGCTTCAGATGAAGACAGAAGTCATAGAAGGTGCCGTGTCACAAGACCCTGAAGCCACTGTGGATGACACCCAAATAATCACCCTGCAGGTTGTGAACATGGAAGAGCAGCCCATCAACCTGGGCGAACTCCAGCTTGTCCAAGTGCCCGTCCCAGTGTCCGTCCCTGTCGCTACCACGTCCGTAGAACTTCAGGGGGCCTATGAAAACGAGGTCTCCAAGGGTGGCCTCCAGGAGGGGGAGCCCATGATCTGCCACACGCTCCCTTTGCCAGAAGGCTTCCAGGTAGTAAAGGTTGGGGCCAATGGCGAGGTGGAGACCCTGGAGCAGGGGGAACTTCAGCCTCAGGAGGATCCCAACTGGCAGAAAGACCCAGACTATCAGCCCCCCACCAAAAAGACAAAGAAAACCAAAAAAAGCAAACTCCGTTACACTGAGGAGGGAAAAGATGTGGACGTGTCTGTGTATGATTTTGAAGAGGAGCAGCAGGAGGGCTTGCTTTCAGACGTCAACGCCGAGAAAGTGGTGGGCAACATGAAGCCCCCCAAACCGACAAAAATTAAAAAGAAAGGTACGTTGGGCAGTTCAACCTGGAGGCTGGGTGGACAGACCTTCACGATTGGTCCTGTGTATTAATTATTCCCACGGCTCTTGAATATATCCAGGGCAGAAGTTTAATTGATTTAAAAACCCAGCCAGGTTCAAAAAGACTAGTCGTGATGATGGCTTAACTGTGATCTAGGTCTTCCTTGAAAGGTATGTTTCTCTGCACAGAGATTCACATCACCGAGTTTCACACATCAGATGTGGGAGCCGGAAGACGTTTCCTCTCAGCAAAGACAGGATTGGTCCCCCAAGTGATTTCTGTTGCGTTTTATGGCCTAGTTAATGTTAGCTGATCCTCTGCATTTGGCCCATTAGGCAGAAAGACAGGATACAAATCAAGTCGTTGTCCTTGATAACGATTAAAGTTTTCTCTCGGTTCCCTCGGATGCGCTACACGTTTATCTCTTTAATTGGGCATATTGTCTGTTAGAATTGAAAATTGGGTGGGGGTGTGTGTGTGACAGGCAGCAGGTTCTGCCTCAGAGCAATGAATGTCCTTCTCTGAATAGGGGTGAAGAAGACATTCCAATGTGAATTGTGCAGCTACACCTGCCCTCGGCGTTCGAACCTGGACCGTCACATGAAAAGCCACACGGACGAGAGGCCACACAAGTGCCACCTTTGTGGCAGAGCTTTCCGGACAGTCACACTGCTGAGAAATCACCTCAATACTCACACAGGTACCGTGAAAGGAGACGCTGTCATGCCATTTTCTAATAGGTTCCTTGGAGTGACTGCTGGTTTGGGGGGTCCAAATGGAAGGTTTGATCGAGCCCCTGCTGTGAATGTACGTGCATTTGTGGTGCATCAGAATATATATAGCACATAAACTGTTTTGAGTGCCAGTTGCGTAGTGTAGGAAAAGAACATTATCTTGAACTATATATAAATAACTTGTTGGTTCCTACCTCTTAAAACAGAGGTCCCCAAACCCCAGTCTGTGGCCCAGTGCTGGGCCGCTGAACTGGGCTGCGGAAGTGGTGGGCGAGGGCACATGTGCACGCGAAGCTAAATTTGTGAAAGGGGCACTTGTGTACAAAACCAGTCCCTGTCCCTACTCCTGCCACCGCCAGTCTGCAGAACTGGAAAAGTTGAAGACCGCTGTCTTACAAATACTTCATGTGTAATCAGAACACAAATAGTACATATAAAGCGATCTCCTTTTTAAAAATAAAATAGCACAATTGAGACTTGCATGTTATTGTGGTCTCAGTCAAATGAAGCCGTTGCCTGTTTGAATTTTCTTCGATCTCGGTAATCCATCAGGTACTCGTCCTCACAAGTGCCCTGACTGCGACATGGCCTTTGTGACAAGCGGAGAGTTGGTTCGACATCGCCGCTATAAACATACCCATGAGAAGCCATTCAAGTGTTCCATGTGTGACTACGCCAGTGTGGAGGTGCGTTCCGTGTCTAGTTTTCTATCGTTGCTGTTGTACGATAGCTACACCCATTCATTTTCCCATTCAGTGTTTTGCTTGGAGCTTTGAAAGAGTTGCCTTCATAATTAACATTTGTTTCCAGGTCTTAAAAAGTGTTCAGGTAAATCCATTGTTCAGGTACATTGTGGCTGATATAAAGTGGAATTTGAATGCTGCCTCTTTCTGCCTAGAAATTTGTTGAAAATCTACCTTGTTTAATTTCAGCGTCGCCTGGAAACCATTTTATGGATTGTAATTTTGCCACATCCAAAGCTGGGGTTTCTTGGAACATGAGATCTTAAAGCAGTAGATTTTGTTCGATTATTTATAAAGTCAAGGTTGCACTGTCTCAGATTAGTTATAAATTCTTGTTAACACTTATTATTTTGACTTACTCCTTTTATTCTTGTGTTCAAGACGGGTCATCTTTACTAAGCAACGTATTGGACAACTGCAGGTAGTTCTTGATTTACAACAGTTCATTTAGTGACCAGTCAAAAAAGTGACTTATCACCATTTTTCAAATTTATGACTTATGCAGCATCCCCGTGGTCATGTGATCAAAATAGAGACATTTGGCAACTGACTCGTTTATGACAGTTGCAGAGTCCTGGGGTGACATGATTCCCCTTTTGCAACCTTCTGATAAGCAAAGTCAGTGGGCACACCAGATCACTTAACAACCATGTTACTAACTTAACAACTGCAGTGTTTCAGAATGTAAAATGGGGTAAAACTCATTTAACCAATGTCTCACATAGCAACAGAAACTTTGGACTCAATTGTGCTGGTAAATTGAGGACTACCTGTATCTTGCATTATTGTATTTCTACATTATTACAAGAATGTATATGTAGAAAATATATTGAGCAGGAGAAATGCAGCAGTTCTACTTCGTTATATAAACTCTGTTATCAAACATACCTGTATAATTTCACCCCAGAAGAAATGAACATGTTCCTTCTCTGAAATGATCTCTTGGGCTCGGCTAAGAGGGGTTACAGAGAGCCTTTCAAAATGAAAAGGTTTTATAACCAAGTTGAGTGACAGGCAGTTTGAGAGGAGAGGAAACGCTTCTTTACAAGCCTATAATTGTAACCCTTGATTATTTTCTGTTGACTTTCTGAGGCTGGCCATGAGCAGAATTGCTCAGTTCTCAAAATGTGTTTCGACTACTGAAAATGAAATATATTTCTCAAATGCAGCTATCCACAGAAGAGCTCATAATTCTGGATTCTCTGGTGGCCTTTGGACTTCAGTAGATTTATTTTTATGCTGGCGCTTCTCCATATTGAAAATGTTGTGTCGTGTCAGCAACCAGCAGCAGATTAAAATGACTCATAAAATTTAAAACTCATAGTAATAATATTTTTAAAGGTAAAGGGTTTAAACAAGCACATTCACATTAAACATTCAAGCAGAAGACTTCAGATAAAAAGCTCAAAGTTAAGATAGCTGCTGACTGCTGAATTTGTGGATCAGAGGGAGAGAGAGAATGTTTCAAGGGATAGATGTTCCAAAGAGGAAGGCCTAGGTTCCTCACAATCTCTATTTTTTAATATTTCATAATTCAATTCTGGAGTGCATTTTTACAATATTAATAATTTGGGCTTTTGAATAATCTTAGGTAATCTCTTGCCTTTCATTGCAGGATATAAAGGGCTACTCCTTCCTCAGGTCATCACATTCTAAAAGAATCCTCTTTTAAATATCAGTCATTATTTGATAGCTAGGAACTATTTTTTAATATTTCAAGAATACCCTTTTGCGTCACAAAGAATAAATGAATACTGCATCATGCTGTTCAAAGGGGGAAAGTTTAAGGCTTGTTTTTAATCGCATTGGACTGGTCTACAAGCCAGTCTCGATACTGCAGGTAGTTGTCAATTTATTGACCAGGATTAAGCCCAACATCTATGTTGTTAAGTGAGGTATTTGTTAAGTGAGTTTTGCCCTATTTTACCACCTTTCTTGCCACACATAGCATAGCTGGAGAATTCATAGGAGTTGAAGTCCACAAGTCTTAAAGCTGCCAAGTTTGAAGACCTCTGTATTAAGTGAATCATTGAAGTTGTTAAGTTAGCAACATGGTTGTTAAGTGAATCTGGCTTCCCCATTGCCTTGGCTTGTCAGAAGGTTGCAAAAGCTGATCACATGACCCCAGGACAAATGTCAAATGTCATAAATACGAACCAGTTGTCAAGCATCCCAAGTTTGATCACATGACCAATTGGATGCTGCAACAATCATATAAGTGAAAAACGGTCACATGTCACTTTTTTTGGCGCCGTTGTAACTTTGAACGGTCACTAATCAACTGTTGTTAAGTCGACGACTGCCTGCATTTCTTTTCCTATTGAAAGAACTTTTCGTTTTCTTGTTCCAGAAGTGCACAGGATTTTTTTTAAAATTATTTTTAGCTGTAGTAATCTGCGCATTGCTAATCTCCCTTCAATATTCTTGGGTTTCAGGTTAGCAAATTGAAACGCCACATTCGTTCTCACACCGGGGAACGTCCATTCCAATGCAGCTTGTGCAGCTACGCCAGCAGAGACACTTACAAGCTGAAGAGGCACATGAGGACCCATTCTGGTACAGATTACGCTTTATTAAAAATGACGGCGAGTGTGTGCTCAAAGCCCCCCCCCTCTCTCTCTCTCTCGCTTGTGTCCAATTTCTTGACTGTCCTACAAGGGGCGGCATTCATTTTAAGATTTCAGGGAATTAAGTTAAAATCTGCTATGATAAATGAGGCTGCCTATCATTAAAAGCAACAAGAAAGCCTTTCCAGCTTGTTTTCATGCTTGTTCCTGATATTTCAAACTTTTGTAAAGCATGTGGTAAGCACTGAAAACAGAGGTTCTCTTACAGTAGTTAATACAACATTTATTCTGTATAACTGTTTTGCAATTTAATTAGATTTTGAGACTGTTCCCACCGCAAGTTAAAACAGAATTGCTTTTCTTTGCTTTGTTTGCTTAACAGTAAGCTCACACTTGTTACAATAAATACAATTTGTTTTAGTCAGTTAAGCAGAGTTTGAAATAATGTTTTTGACTTGATTGCAATTATGATACAGTATGATGTGTAAAAGCAAGATATGTAGGTTTTGTGTTTTTATAATTGTGCTCTGCCCAAGTTTCTAACCCAGCCTTTCTCAATTGGAAAAGAAAATAATTGTGTTGGTGGGGTTTTTTGTTTTTTTGGGGGGGGGGGTTGGTTTTTTTTACTTTGCATGCTGTGCAATGTGAGCACTCACAGTGGTGAGAATTTTTACACATTGTAACTCAACTTACTGATTCTGGTACCATACTATGGGATGTAGATACCATAATTTTTACTCTGGGGCTCCCTGTGAACTGAAAATAATTTCAAGGATTCCTCCAGAGTGAAAAGATTGAGAAATGCTATAACCACTAAAATAAATGCAAAAATGTCTAAAAAGGAGAATTGATCAGGAAACTACAAACGAAGAGTTTTGTTTGTAGTTTGTATAATAAACGTTTGTATTTTGGCTTGTATAATAAATGGATTAAACCACATATGCAAACTCATATTCTCTATCCCTTAATCCACAATGCCTTCCCCACATCTGGGCCTCTTGAGCTAACCATTTCTTCTCCCTGGTTGCCAAAGGTGAGAAGCCCTACGAGTGTTACATTTGCCACGCTCGCTTCACCCAGAGTGGGACCATGAAGATGCACATCCTGCAGAAGCACACGGAAAACGTGGCCAAGTTCCACTGTCCCCACTGTGACACAGTGATTGCACGGAAGAGCGACTTAGGTGAGCATTGCGGGAGTTGAGGCTTCTGCGAAAAAGGAGAGGCAGACTGTCCCAAATTCACCCATCCAGGTTTTCGTGCCTGAGGTGAGACTGGTGCTCAGGGCCTCACAGTTTCAAACCTGGTGCTTTAACCAGTAGACCCAACTTGCCTAAATCCTGGCATTGTAAATGCTTTATGTTAGCATCATCAGGCAGGAATCTTGTGGCTCGCTTAAATATAGGCCGGGCTGGCCTAATTTTTAATTTTTTTAAAATTGTTTAATTTTAATCTGAATTTTAATGGGGTATTTAAACTGTTGGGTCAAATTATTTAATTTATTTTAAATTGCTTTTAAATTTTGTATTTTGTGTTTTTACCTTTGGCCGTTCACCGTCCTGAGTCCTTCGGGAGAAGGGCGGTAATAAATTTAAAAATAAATAAATAAAATAAAATAAAAATCAGCTACAAGGAAGATGTTCGCATCCCTCATGCTCCTCCCCATGTGATGACGATTTAAAGACAGAGGTTTCCACGTGACTGTCTCTTTCCAGGTGTCCATTTGCGGAAGCAGCATTCCTACATTGAGCAGGGCAAGAAGTGTCGTTACTGTGACGCCGTGTTCCACGAGCGATACGCACTCATCCAGCACCAGAAGTCTCACAAAAATGAGAAGCGCTTCAAATGTGACCAGTGCGACTATGCATGCCGACAGGTAAGGATGGACCCTCAAGGAAACTTGAGATCTTCTAGATCGGTTCATTTACCCCCTGTGGGCTATCTGTGGGTCATTGCGCCCCTTTGATCTCCTGCCCTCTGATTCCATCCAGGAACGGCACATGATCATGCACAAGCGAACCCACACTGGAGAAAAGCCTTACGCCTGCAGCCATTGCGACAAAACCTTCCGCCAGAAGCAGCTGCTTGACATGCACTTCAAGCGCTACCACGATCCCAACTTCGTCCCAGCTGCCTTCGTCTGCTCTAAGTGTGGCAAAACGTTCACACGCCGTGTAAGTGCTCAGTACACATGGAAAGATATGGGGGTGGGGGATGACAAGTGCTGCAGGACGCTCCGTGTGAAGTACCAGTAAATAAGAGAAGGAGATGGACGGTGTCTTAACACCAGTGGGTTACCAAGACTCCCCCTGTGTTATGTTTCTGGCAAACTCAGCCAAAGCTCGTGTTCTGCGAACCCTGCTGTTTGAATCATCTGGACTGCATTTGCCGCTTTTAAAAACGGGAAATGTTTGAGGGCTGCAAAACTTCAAGGCGAGGACAGGAGAAACGTAGACTTGTCACAGCTGCCAGCTTCTAATGGCCTTGAAACCCAGAGTTGGGAAGGGGCTTTTTTTTTCCCTCCCACTTTTGAAAATTAAAGTTAAAAGAACAAAATGGGTACAATTAAGCCTTTGAGACACTCTTTCTTCCTCTCTTAAAGCTTCTGAAATCCTCTCCCAAATAGGCCCAGGCCTCACCCATTTTTACAGTGTGAGCCTACTGTGCCATTCAGCGTGGCAGAAAAGAGCCAACAGAACTTGCAGTCTTGTTTTATTACATGCTGCTGCCTTCTACTTTTGTGTGTGTGTGTGTGTCTCAGAAGCTGCGTGACCCATGTTGTCTTTGACGCATACCGTGTTATATGTTCTTGCAAATTGAAGCAGTTTGATTGGAGGTCAGGTTGCATCAAGCTTAATTCTTTATTGGTGGCTCTTCCAAAAGCTGGCAATCAATGCCAATTCTTTTTTTAAAAATGGGAGATTGTGAGTTCTAGTTCTTCCTTTAGAAGTGAGTAACCATGGACCAGTCACTCTCTCTCCCAGCCCCAGGAGGAAAGCAGTGAGGAAGCACTTCCAAGAAAACTTCAGGGATTTGTCCACATAGTTGCCAAGAATGACCTGAAGGCAGTTGTGTGTTGTTGTTTTTTAATGAATTTCCAGATTCACTGGGGGAGGTTGTTCAGATACCTCTCGTTGCACGCAGCCAACACCTAACATTTGCCTGCCTTTCTTTAACCAGAACACAATGGCCAGACATGCAGATAATTGTTTAGGCCCCGATGGGGTTGAAGGAGAGAACGGAGGGGAGCCCAAGAAGGGAAAACGTGGGCGGAAGAGAAAAATGCGCTCCAAGAAAGAGGATTCTTCTGACAGCGGTAAGAAAAGAGAGAGGAGCTCCAGAAACATTTTTAGATCTCCTGAACTTGCTGATGGATTCATAGGTCACTGCAGGTGTTGCCGGCTGTTACCCAGAGCACAAAATAGTAACTTGCCAGTAGCCACCTCAGCCATTTCAGTCTCTGAGCAGTGGAGAAACATGGATAAGAGTACAACAAGGATCTTTGGGCAGAAGATTGAGGGTGGGAGATATTCCTTCTTTTTAAGAAAGCTGTTGGTGTATCTGAACTTGTTTAAGGAAAAATATTCATTTTCAGTATTGCTTTCTGCCATTCCGTTCCATTAATAATAGGTCTAATAATAATTGACGTCTTTCAGTTTAAAACATTCAGCGTGAAACTAAACATAATCATGGTGTATGCAAACATACAGAGAGAGAGAGAGAGAGTCACCACTTTTCCATCAAAGCTTTGCAAGTAAAGTAATTTTCTCCCAACTGAAATTTCTGGCAGTGGCGTTTTGGCTTCCTTCTGTTGCCCAGTCACCTTTCGAATGGAAGGCTTCTTTCTGGTAGAAACATTAACCCGACAGCTTTGCCTAGAGAGGGAACATACTTAGGCAGTTTACATTTTATTTTTTTCATTGTTCGTTGCCTTGATTTTTAAAAAAAAAATTTTTTTTTTAAATCCTTGCTCATCTTAAAGAGGAAAATGCTGAACCAGAATTGGATGAGAATGAGGAGGAAGAAGAAACAGCGGTTGAAGTCGAGGCTGAACCAGAAGTGGAAGTGGAACCTGTGGCCCCAACTCCTCCACCAGCCAAGAAGAGGAGAGGACGTCCACCAGGCAAAGCCAATCAACCCAAACAGCCCCAGCGTAAGTTACCATTTTTCTACAAATGACCGCAGGGCCCAGTCTTAGAAATAAAGAGGAAAGTTAAAAGTCAGGTAAGATGAGGAACTTGAGGATACTTGGAAAAACTGTCTTCAGGAACACTGGAGATCTCTGGAGCTGTTTTTGGACAAGCTACATCTGCATGAGGCCAGCTCAAGTTGAGTTTGGGGCCTGCATAATTCCTGCTTTTAGCCAGAAGTGCCAAGAAGATCTTGTTGTAGACAGATTTCAAGATATCATGAGTGGAAGCCCAGCAACTGCAAGTCAGAATTTACATTCACTGGCTTGTGACTCCCTTTTACTTACTGTCGTTAACATGAACCATGGTTTGGGCTTCAGGTCAAGTAACACCACACGCTGTGATTAATCTAAAACCAGGAACAAAAGCATTTAATCTCAAGGGAAATGCAATAGGACAGAAGGTCCCTCCTGTTTGGCCATTATTGTAACACTCGACTGCAGTGTCATATGTGGATTTGAAACAGACTTCTGGCTCATTGAAAAGAAGGCCCCATCCTTTAGATCCAACCTTGGCAACTTTAAGACCTGTGGACTTCAACTCCCAGAATTCCCCAGCCGTATTTTTCTACATCATATCGTATGGTGTGATTCTTGTATAATTAAAGCAAAATAAGATGAATTAGATTTCATAGAATGTGTGAGTTGGAAGGACTCTTCTCGGTTGATCTAGTCCAGGGGTGTCCAACCTTGACAATTTAAGTCCTGTGGACTTCAGCTCCTAGAATTCCCAAGCCACCCTTGCTTTAGATCAGGGGTTCCCAAACTTGGCAGCTTTAAGACTTCTGGACTTCAACTCCCAGAATTCCCCAGCCTGGAGAACACTGGGAGTTGAAGTCCACAAGTCTTAAAGCTGCCAAGTTTGAAGACCTCTGCTTTAGATGCTGTGAAATTGCCTAGCAAGGGGCAAACCATGTCAGTGACTTACATGATCTCCAGGCAGAGCCTGATTTCTGTTCCCCCCTCCCTTTTTTTCTTTTATTTTATCCATTAGCTACAGCAATCATTCAGGTGAAAGACCAGAGCACTGGTGCAATTGAAAACATTATTGTGGAAGTGAAGAAGAAGCCCGAAGCAGAGACTGTCGGGGCTACTCCAGGAACTCAGCCAGCAGTAGTGGAAGCGCCCAATGGAGACCTCACCCCAGAGATGATCCTTAGCATGATGGACCGGTGATGGAGGAAGGGTTAACGCTCTTCACTGAACTGGCCTGGGCTCTTTTTGAACTGGCTCAATCCGTTTTATTTTATTATTTTATTTTCCTTCTTACCTTATTTTCGGCTTTGGGAAATGCACCATTTTTTTTTAAAAGACCGTTTTACCAAACAACCTGGGCAAGAACACTTCAAATGATGATAAGATGTGATTTGCCTAGAACATTCTCCCCCCTTCCCCTCCTCCCTTTCCCTCTCTCTCTCTTTCTCTCTCTCTATGTTTAATGTTAACCTAACCGGATCATGGAACATGGGGTGATTTTTATTTTTAATTTGCTGGTTGATTTTCTCAGTTCCCTAAAGGCGTTTTTGCAAATCACTCAATCCAGTTAACTGTTAGTGCCAGGCCGTGGTTGGCCTTCTCCGTCTGGACCTTGTCCAGACTGTTCTGGAGCTGTTTTATGCATTTCTAGAAGCCCTCGGCTTCATTTTTTTTTCTTTCCTCTGTCTAGAGATTTTTTTAATTGTAAATTCAGACTCAGGAGGGTTGTAAAACTGATATTGCATTTTAGTTTTTGCTTTTTCTTACCCGACCCCACTCCTCCCCGGCGCCACATCAGCACTGTAGGTTCAGCATGCTTCACCATCACCCCGTCTCTCCCAGATGCTTTGCTGTCTGCAGGGCATCTTTGTAATGATCGAGCTTGTAAATAACTTTTTTTTTTTTTTACATTTTAATCTTTTTTTTTCCCCCCATTTAAGAGGTTTTTTTGGGGCGGGGCGGGGCTTATAGTTTAAAAGGAAAAAAAAAAAACCCTGTCATTTTTAACTATTGCAACTAGGAATTATGCAGGAATTGGTACCGAATAAAATACTGGAACCTATCAAGTCAGTGGGAGAGCGCTACCTGGGTTAAAAGTGGTAGACATCCACACCCCAGCTCACTTTCTTAGTACATGAACTTGGTCTCAAAGCGTGTGTCCCTTAAAAAGCGCCCTTTTGAGTTTCAAGTTGTCATAACTCTTTTCTTTGCTCTCTTTTTCTCTCTCTCTTTTTTTCAGGTGTGTGTGTGTTTATGAATTCTGTGTTTAAAAGCCAAGGTGTTAATTTGTAATAGGGCTTCCCAGCCCTTCAAAACCCAGGGCAGGAAATTTTACTAGGTCAGTGATCATAAAATTTGGGGGTTTAATTACAATTTAAAAAAAAAATGAAATGAAATAAAGAATAATGTGAAATTTAAAAAAAATAAATAAAAAGGATGCCTGTATATCAGACCATCACATGTTAAAAACGCGTAAGCTTTTTATAGAGCCTCAAGTCTTGCTGATTTCAGAACCAAGAACTTTTGTTCTATGTATCGCTTTTAAGAGAGCTATCAGGTTAGCTATCCAATTCTAGGTTGATGCATTTTTGTACTTAGCTGTACTGTGTGATATTTTTCATTATTTTAGGAAACCAACATGAAATAAAACATCATAAAACGTATAATGGGGTTTGGACTATGGGAAGGAGAATATACTGCTGTACAGCTAATAAATAATAATGATTATCCTCTGCGTTCGTGAGTTTGTGTGTGCTTTCTAGTTTTTGTGGGCACTCAACAGGTGTGTGCGTGTCAATTTTAGCAAACATGGCGGACATCTTGTTTTATTGGGTGGGAAGGAGAAGGTTTTTCCTATTAAAGACACTTGTTTTTTTATACATCTCAGTTTGTAGGCAGTTGCTTGTGCCTTTAGGGCAGCTTTGTATCTACAGTAACATGAATAAGAGCTGTGCATTTCTAGTTATGGAGATGTGCAGCGTTCCATGATTGCATGATATTCATGCCAAAATGCAATTTTATATATATATATATAAAAGAATACCTTAGTATGTAGGGATCGGCCATAAAATATCTGAAACCACCATTGAACCTGCAAACACCCTTGAATGATACATGTGAATCCCCGTTTAAAAAATACCGGTAGTTTAAACATCGACAAAATTTTGAGAGTCTCTTTCATTCCTACCCAAAACTTGCTTGAGAGGGCCAAAACCTTGCAAGATGATTAAAGTATAATAGGGTTCTTGAAACCTCGAGAGTGAACCGGTAGCAAAGGTAAGTGAAACCTACCTCTGCTATACACACACAGACTTTGGTAAAAATCCAGTTGCAATTTCTATGCAACTGAAGCTTGTCTGCTTTATGGCTTCTTCACTTAAAACTGCTTTCAAGATTTCCTTACTTGCAGTGCATTGGACATGTGTTAATACAGAGGTCTCCAAATTGTCAACTTTTAAGACTTACCCCAGTATGGCTGGCTGAGGAATTCTGGGAGTTGAAGTCTACAAATCTTAAAAAGTTGCTAAGTTTGGAGACCCCTGTATTAAGAGATTGCCTATTTGAAGAAAACGTCATTTCCCAATTGTGCTGCAGCTTCCGTTTTTTGCTGTCTGGAAGATCTGAGCTTTCTATTCTTTGGTGGGCGGTGAGCTGGTCGGAAGAAATACGCAAGATCTGTTGCGAACATCAATGTTGGACTTTTCTGAATTAGTTTCGTCATTTTATTTAGGAGAACCTGGTGGTATAGAATAGGATTAAAGCGGAGATACCATCATCGTCATCATTTTAGCTATTGTTTATCCACTGCAGGATGAAGGCCTTTTCCGCTTGTTTCCAACCAAGCTGTCGTTTACCAATTGGGCCCGGAATACTTGCTGACGTTCCATCTTGTTTTAGTTCTCTTATGTGGAAACTATCAAGTGGGATCCATTCTGCAACTGCCTTGGTCCACCTGCATCAATCCTTGCTATGCGACCAGCCCATTTCCATTTCAATTATCTTAACTCTCTTGATATGTATACTTTCATCTCTTAATTCATGTGAAGATCTTTCTATCTTGTCTTGTAATGCCAAGCATGTATCTTACCATGGCTCTTTGTACTTAAGATATATTACTAGAATATTCTGGATCATTGAAAGTTAATTAACACTGTTTTCTAACGAGGTCGAAGTCTTAAGTCTGAGCCTTGCAAAACTAGAATGAATATGGCTCCGCAGATTTTATTCCCTGCATGCTTTTTGATACTATTCCTAATTCAAAAAAGGGTTGCATTTTTAGGCTTCTGCATTAAAAATCAAACAGAACCCTAGGCTTAGAAATTTTTGTGCAAATTTTAAGATCGTGCTTGTTAATTTATTAATAACAGAAAATAAATATGCTCTCAGAACAGCTTGTGATTTGTTTCTATGAGTCATAATTGTTGGGGAGCTTTGCAATAATTCCGTAACGGAAGATGAAGCTCAACAGTAATCTTAATCCGCTCCTTCACATTAGTTTATCATGTGAACCCCAGCCATTACAATTAATTCAATAAAGAGTGGTTAAACTTTTCAGAAATGAATATGATCTTTTGAGCCCAGCCTGTTCTGAGATTATGAGAAAAACTCTTCAGAGCTTTCCCTCTGGCTCCATGTAGACTGATGTTGAATGTTAACAGACTTGAGTGATGTATTAAAATTCACAATCTCTGTTCACTGGTTGTGTGAGGTTTGCAACTTAGCAAATTAAATATTCCATGTATCACCCACATATTGGGGCTCAGCAAGTTTTTCAATAGACCTGTTGTGATTTCCTGTTTTGAACTTCAAAAGCAAGTGGTTTCTAAGCATATATTACTACGCTGGGTATATAAGGATGAAATATAATCTTGCTAGATAAGACCAAAAAAATAGAATGTATTTTTCTACATTCTATTGTATGTCCTGGTTCTTGTATAACTAAGGCAAGGTAAAATTAATTAGCTTCATAGACTGTATCAGTTGAAAGATCTCTTCTGGATTAGTCCACAGGTGTCCAAACATGGCAATTTTTGGAAGTTCTGGACTTCCAACTTCCAGAATTTCCCAGCCAGCCGTGCTGGCTGAGGAATTCTGGGAATTGAAGTCCACAAATCTTAAAAGTTGCCAAGGTTGGACATCCCTGATCTAATCCAACATAAAGTTCAGTAGAGGAATTTATCTTGAGAGCATCTGGCTCCTGCTTGAAAATCTCCAGCAAAAGGGAGTTCACCACTATCTTAACAGACAGTTCCACTGCTTTAAAAAAACATTTATCAGCATCAAATTATTTCATTTTCAGCCTGAATATCATTTCTTTTAAATTTACGCAAATCTATCCTGACTTTGGTTTCAGTAGAGTGGTGGTTGACCCACTTGAGTGCCAACCACCTTTTAGAAAAATACAGACTAATGCAAAACTTTCACTCCTCTTTTCCAACTTAAATGGGTCGTTTCTTCAACTATTATTTATATGGCTTGATTACCAGAATTATATACTAGATTACCAGTTTCCTCTGAGCTTACTCTGATTACTCTATCCTTTAAAAGGATGCCATGAACTCTGCAGAGTTGAATGAAATTAAAACAAATTGTGTATTTGTAGGAATAATTTGTAGGGACATGGTGGTTCAGTGGCTAAGATGCTGAGCTTGTCAATCGAAAGATTGGCGGTTCGAATCCCTAGTGCCGCGTAACGGGGTGAGCTCCTGTTACTTGTCCCAGCTTCTGCCAACCTAGCAGTTCGAAAGCAGGTAAAAAATGCAAGTAGAAAAATAGGGACCACCTTTGGTGGGAAGGAAACAGCGTTCTGTGCGCCTTCGGCGTTTAGTCATGCCGGCCACACGACCACGGAGATGTCTTCGGACAGCGCTGGCTCTTCGGCTTTGAAACAGAGATGAGCACCGCCCCCTAGGGTCGGGAACGACTAGCACATATGTGTGAGGGGAACCTTTACCTTTACCTTTACCTTAGGAAGTCTACAAAACAGTCAGGAACTAATTACTCTCCTATATTGTTCCCAGAGGTTTTTTAGAACTGTGACTCCCTAATTGTAGAAGCAGGTAACCAATGCTAACAGATCAACATCCCAAATGTTCTCCAGAAATGGAGTATCAGAACTGCCAAAAAAAAATATTTAGGGGAGGGAATGAAAGTTTGTCTTATTTGTTAATCTCTCCAAGCAGAACTAGGAAGCCTCAAATTTAAAAGGATTGAAACTGCTTTGTCAGTAATCCAGAGATCCACCAACCAGACCCTGAATCCAGATATGAGTTTTGAGAATTAAACAAGAGTCTACACCGACAGAACTATCTACGGTAGTAGCCAAAATTGTGGAAACCTTTTGGGAAAAGTGTATTTTCTAAAACTAGCTAATAACACTTTTTTTTTTGGAGTAGTACCATAAAATTATCTATCAATGGAAAGATAATTTAATCTGCCTCCAGGGGAAAACAAATTCAGTTGGAAGACACAATCAATCCAGATTAGAATAGAATGGAATAACAGAGTTGGAAGGGGCCTTGGAGGTCTTCTAGTCCAACCCCGCTTAGGCAGGAAACCCTACACCACTTCAGACAAATGGTTATCCAACATCTTCTTAAAAACTTCCAGTGTTGGAGCATTTACAACTTCTGGTGGCAAGTTGTTCCACTGATTAATTGTTCTGTCAGGAAATTTCTCCTTAGTTCTAGGTTGCTTCTCTCCTTGATGAGTTTCCACCCATTGCTTCTTGTCCTGCCCTCAGGTGCTTTGGAGAATAGCTTGACTCCCTCTTCTTTGTGGCAGCCCCTGAGATATTGGAAGACTGCTATCAGGTCTCCCCTGGTCCTTCTTTTCATTAAACTAGACATAATTGTTAGTTCCTTGCTATGAATTTGGCTAATCTTACAAGGGCAAATTTCTGGCTTTCCAGAGGCTGTTGAATTACCTCAGCAACTTCCCTCAATAATGAAGGATGCTGGGGCTTGTAGTTCAGCCATTTCGGGAGAGCCATTGCTCTTCCACCACTAATTGCTCTTGAAGCCTTCAACAGTTGGGTGAAGAAGAGTAGAAGGCAAGAGTTCATTCAGGTTGCTGTTTTGCAGGAGCGATGTGAGGCTTTCACAAGTCCCTGCTTTCATTCATCAAACGGGCTGCTTAATTAGTCATTTATCTTAATGCAATGAGCTTTTGATTTTTTCATAAGGTGTGTGGGAGGACAAGTAGATTCCCACCTGTGGTGCTCTGCTCTCCTTATTTGCTCTTACAAAATGCACCTGTGTTGTTTGCTTCCCTACTCAGGGCTTACTTTAAGTTGAAGTGACAAGAAGACAGGAAGAGGCAGTTCAAGGTAAGGGAAGGAAAAATTTTTTAAAAAAGAGGTAGGCAACACGAACTGTCATCTTGTGCCCTGGTAACCTGCTGCCTGACGGAAACACCACTTCCTTCCAAGTAGGTCTCTGCAGAAGGTCAGAAGATGGCTGCCTCCTTCAAAGAGAGATCTGAAGAACTGCATGGTAAGCAAAGTCCTCATTTCTTTGTCCTACTTAGCATGAGCCAAGAAGGCCAGGAGACTGCTACTCATTACTTAACGTCTTCAGGATGCTTAGTCGGGTGCTTAGGAAAACTTCCCTCTATCTTTCTGGTGTCCCCGTTTGATTGATTTTTCAGAAATGGAGATTTGGAGCTTAGCTTTGAAGCTGACATATTTGATGGGCCTGTTTATTAAGAAGTGTGCTTGTGTGTGTGTGTGTGTGT